CACCCTTTGCCACCAATATTTAGGCAGTGACATCATCACCAGTGCGGTGGGTCAGACCTGGGGTCTTCTAGGTCCAACACTTCTAGTCCAACACTGTCTGCACTGTTGAAATCAGCCTGTCATGAGGTTCCAAATTTTATTGTATGTATATGGGCTGATCACTCTGTGTATCAATCTTGACTGATCTATGATTGTAAGAAATAAAGACTAACTAATTGATAGTCCAACACTCTGACCCCTACCCCGCATCCAGACCCATCTTTGAACGGTACACCACACTTTGGAAGTGAAGGCCGTGCCATATTGTTCTTCTGATCCCCCGAGGGAAGGCTGGCCCTAAGTCACTTAGTTTACTTTCCTCCCATTGGCCAGATATTGTTTATTCCAGGAATGTTCGCCTAGCAGTCATATTTTTATCCTGCCCTTCCTCTAGGGACTCAGGGTCATGTACACAGCTTTCCCCTCCTACATTTTATCCTCACAACAACCCTGTGATGAGAGTTACTGTGAGACTGTGACTGGCCCAAGGTCACCCAGGAAGCTTCCTTGGCAGAGCAGAGATTTGAACCTGGTGTCTCCCAGACCCTAGTTTGAGTGAGTTCAACGTGTTAAATTTGGAGATGGCCTTGGAAGGGGAGGCTGCTGTTTAGGGTGGATTGGGCATTAAGGCTACTGGCAAAAGTCCGGGTGGGCTGGGGCTGCTAACATCAGCATGGGAAATTCATGGAGATTTGGGGTTGGAGCCTGTGTGTTCCCAGCCCCCAGGTCCCAGCGGGGGTTCCCCACTTTTAGGGGCCTGGATCCACTGCCAGCCAGCTGGCTAGGGGGGAAACCCCACTCCCAAACAGAGATGTCACCTCAAGACGCCCCCAGAACAGTGATGTCACCCGGAAGTGACATCACTTGAATCACCAATGTCGGGGGTGATGCTCTAGTTTTTGGGCAAACTCTATGGTTTTGAAGGCAAAAAACCCCACACCCCATAGAGTTTTGCCCGAAAACTAGAGCATCATCCCCCAACATCTGCAACTTGATGACGTTACTTCCGGATGACATCATTGCACTGCACGTGCAGAACATCCCAGAGAGGACCCGAGAGCCCTCTGCCAGTGGCCAGGTAGGACCTGGCAACCCTACCGTGGAGGTGGGGATTTGGGGAGGGGTTTCACCTTGAATTTGTGGTATACCGTAGAGTTTGCCTTCTGAAGCTGCCATTTCCACCAGGGAAACTGATCTCTGTAGTCTGGAGATCGGTTGCAGTTCTGAGACAACTCTGGGGCCCATCTGGAGTCTGGCAGCCGTACGGTAGGCCTAAGGCCAATAGCCAGGGAGCTACAGTGCTCCAAGTGAAGGAGGGGCATGAGCTGCCACCATTGTGGGAGCCACACAAGCCACAGCCTCCACAAACCAGTGTTCCCATCCCTGCTCTTCCCCACTTCCCTCCTCCTTCAGGGGGTCACAGTTGCCCCTCCCCCAGTCCACCCATGTTCCTCTTACTTTGGGAGATGGAAGCTGCCCTTGGGATTTCCCTCACTTTTGCCTGTTCCCCTGCTGTTCAACCTGTACATGTTTAACCAAAGCAGATATGACAAGGAAGCCTTCCATGGTAGGGACTGCCCATTTTGCCAACCGGCTGCAAGACTTTAACCAGTGAGCAGCCATTTGTTGTGTGAGTAATTACTAAAGAAAAAGGAATGCAAGTTCTAATGGAAATCCCCTGCTCCCCAAATGGAGCCGCTGGATGATCAGATTCAAAGAAACATATAACAAAGGACTGAGTATGCCTGAGAATAAAATCCCGTCTGCTTCCTTGTTTACAATGGAGGCCTTCATTAAAGGATTTGCTTTCCCATTCATTTTCCTAGAACTGCTTTTGTGTCTGAAAGGGGGGAAACAAAGATTCTAGAAGAATCTGTTCTATCCTGTTAATAATTCCTTTCCTTATTGTGGCTCGATAAAGATCTTTCATCATCCAGACTGCTGATTTATTAATTGGACAGCCTGTTGCTGATACTGGTGCTACTATTTAGTATCCTGTGCATGCCCAGCAGACCAGTGCAAAGAAAGCACAAGACCTCATGCTTTTTTTTTGCTTTTTAAAAACAATGTATTAAGTTTTTTAAAGATAAATGAAGCATACATAAAAATAACATGCATACATCACTAATACAGTGGAAAACAGTGATAATATCAAACATGTTGCTCATAACGTACAGCATATCAAATCCATAGAATTTCCAGCTAAACTGTAATTTGCACTAACTGTCTTATATCATTACTAATCTAGTATTTTAAATGGCCGTTTAGCATAGTGCTCCGACCCTACAAGAAGATCACAACTTATAAATGCACCCACTCCGAGTATCCAAGATTTGATGGCAGTATGTCCTTTTCTGTGAAATATGTTATCAAACCGAACCACTTTCTTACAAATCTAGTTTGTGACCCTGTGTGTCTTTGTGTATGTCATATGTGTCAGCTATTTTCTCCATCACAAAATGATCCCAACATTTGTTTCTCCATTGGTACATGGATGGAGGTACCGAAAACTTCCAAGAGGCAGCAATCGCGAGCCTTGCCGTGGCTATCAAAGTGGCAGACAGTTCAGACAAGAGAACACACACGGCCCAGCAAGGACCAACATAGTGCTCCGACTCTACAAGAAGCTCACAAGTTTTAAATGGAAACACTCAGAGTATCCAAGATTTGATTGCATTATATGCACAAGACCTCATGCTGAGACGCAGAGGGTGAGAAGGCAAAGCCCTTCTTTAACAGACTGTCCTGCAACAGCGGGAGTGGAAGAGCGCAGGGTTGCCAGCTCCAGTTTAGAAAATTCCCGGAGATCTGGGGATGGAGTCTGGTAAGGATGGGGTGTAATGCCACAGAGTCCACCCTCCAAAGCAGCCATTTTCTCCAGGGAAACTGATCTCTGTAGTCTGGAGATCTGGTGAAATTCTGGGAGATCTCCAGGCTCCACCTGGATATTGGCAACCTTAGGAAGAGGATAGACCACACACACACACCCCCGCACGCGCACAAAGCAGCCTCCCACACTCATATGCCATTGGGCACACAAGAACTAGACACAACATAGAGCCCTAGGTATCCCCTAATAGCTGTGGCATCAGCCATATATACTAGAGCACTAGAGCAGGGTAGTCTTTAAAAAAAGGCCTTGTACTACAGGAAGGTGCATCTTTAATATGCTCAGAGGCCAGAGAGATGCAGTGATACAGGTGTCCTCCCTGTGGTTTATGTGATCCTTGAAAGAGCAGCGGCCAGGGAACAGTAGTAGATCATTTGCTTTGGAATCAGAAGGCCCCAGGTTCAATCCCTGGTATCTCCAGTGAAATGGAACAGGTAATAGGTGATGTGAAAGACCTTGAACCTGGACCCTGGAGAGCTACTGCCAGTCTGAGTAGACAATACTGACCTAGAAAGACCAGTAGTCTTATAAGGAATTTATTTATTCGTCCCTTATTAGTTTGGTTACATGGAAACATAAGAGTGCTTTTAAAACTGAAATACAGGGCAATTAACTTTTGCTAAAAGGTCTGTGTCAAGACAGTCTCCTGCTAAGGAGGAATCTGCTTTAAAAGCAACAATACATTTTTCTGGGATCTGTACACTTAAAACTCGCAACAAAATGCACGCAAAAATGTTTTGAGTTCATTTCCTTTGTTAAAAGCCGTGAGCTCTTTTATTAAGCAAAATGCTAGTGTGAAAAGTTGTATGCACAGAATCAGAGCCTTTCAAAGGTAGGATTTAGGACTGTGCTGTGAATGATTTAATTGGATTTATGAAAGCCATATCACCTGGTTGCTAATTGTAATTGTTATATACTGTTGGAGCTTGAGTCTCAGTGAAGGCTCCAAAGGCCTTCAAGGCCATTGGTTGTGTTGCTGGTAACGGCCAATCATATTTGTTGCCTTATATCCAATAGCTATATGGTAAATAGTTACTTTATATATATAGTTCATGCAAATGAAAGATCCTAGCTGCCTACTTTGTATTGGTTGTTGTTAAAGGTAGGTATGGTTTTTACAAGTATAAATTGGATCCTGTTGAGCCTGTGTCTTTGGTTCAGAAGTTCAATAAAGAAACATGTTGTTACAAAAAGAGCTGCCTCATGTAATGTACTGTGTTTATACAGAGTTTCTTTTCTGTCCAGATAAAGGCGCATAAGTGTTTGTTTCAATAGAAGTGGATCTCTCAAGTTTCTGAATGCCTTTAGTCATTTGTGGTGTTTCCTTTTAAATCTCCAACACTGCACATAAGATTCCTGGGCCCTAGTCTCAGGGTGCTTTTCACACACAATAAATAACACACTTTCAATCTACTTTCAATGCACTTTGCAACTGGATTTTACTGTGTGTGAAATGGCAAAATCTACTTGCAAATGGTAGCTGAGATGGATAGAAACTGCATTATTTAGCATGTGTGAAAGCACCATTAGATCCTCACTCAGATCCTGGTTCCACCGCCAGACCCACAATGACACAAAAGCTTTTACCTCCAGGCCCGATCCAGATTTATATTTTGAGAGTCAGCAAATCTAACTCACCGTGAACAACGGTACCTCTTTCAAAGTGCCTTCCATTTCTGACTCCTCTTTCCAAAACCATTACTATTTCTCTCTTGCCTAAGAGGGGAAATTGGGGACAACGGTATTGATCCAACCAGCTTTCCTGCTAGTGACCATCCAAAATAGCTACGGTGAGGATCACACAACTTGCATGGATAAAAGCCATGTTGGACAGGGGCTGTAGAAAGGAGGAGAATTGGGCAAGACGGAATGAAAGAGCCCTCTAGATCCAACCCAACGTGTTTTACATTCGTATATGTTCAATGAATTTCTTGGTGAAAATCCCATTTTTTGGCTGCTTCTCTAATGCAGGAAATTGCACATAGATCTGTGATATGGGAACATTTGGCATCTGTGACAAAAAAGAGAATGATGAAAGATTAATGTCCCTTCTTGTGTTTTCTTGCCTTAGGACAACCAACTGGATCACAGGTGTGTGAAGCTGAGTGCACCAAATTCTCCACCAAAAAAATCCCCTTGAAATTGTTGCAAAGCTACAAGAGGACGAAATGTGGGAAGCCTGGTGTGCTGTAAGTACCCATCTGCCTTTCATTCAATACCAGTGATTCCAAGAGCTGCTGGATTCCAGTCTGAGTGAATGAGAGCAAGTGAGGTTGTGATGGGGTGTGCTATTCATTCATTCAATCAGTCAATCAATCAATCAATCATGTTTCGACTGCTGCCTATCAGAAGGGCTCAGCAAGAGAAACCTTAGTTTTTCAGTAGATGAGTTACACCCTTGAAAAGCTAAGAACTTGTGGTATGGACCCAGGGAACGAAAAGGGAAAACCAGGAACACAAATAGTGCTAATCTTAAAAGAACAGTTGAGCCCCTTTTAAGAATACATGAATTTGCCTTACACTGAGTCAGCCAGTTAGGCTACTGAGGTCAGCACTGTTAACTGTGACTGGCAGCAGCTATCAAGAGGTTTCAGGAAGAGGTCTTTCATGCCACCTAGCACCTGATCCCTTTTGGTTGGGGATGCCAGGGACTGGACCTGGGACCTTCTGCATGCCAAACAGATGCTCTACCACTGAGCCATGGTTCCTCCCCAAGAACAGGATCTACTGCAGGGACTCTAAGGGATCAGACTGGCCACTTATCAGGGTGACTCTCCTGACCTCTCACAGGGAGGGAGAGCAGATTCAGTAGAGAATGGGTGTTGTGAGCCTGGGCCTGCATAGCATAGTGAGGCCTAGTGGCTCTGGGAAAGCATGTATTAGAGTGACTACTGGGCCTACATTTCCCAGGCCACCTTTTGGACCCTGTGATTGGTTAACAGGGGGTTTGGAGGGAAAATTTACACAAGTAGAGGAATAGAAGGTGGTGTTATTTGTTACTCTGCCTGGATCCTCACACCTCATTTGGTCATATATAAAGTACCCCCTATTGGGAAAGATTGGCCATTCGGGGTCGGGTGGGTGCTCTGGGCCTTCCCAAGGAGACCCCTACCAGAGTGGTGGCAGCCTATGGAGAGCCTTCCTAGTCCCTGCCTGCGACAAGGGAGAATATACATCTGCCTTTAATGGCTGCCTTGAAGAGGGAATAGTAGCAGCAAATATTAGCATTTTCGTACCCCTATTACACTACCCCTTATGGTATTGTTGCCCCTCTTCCAGACTGTCTGTGCAGTCCCGAGAAGACTTACATCCTTCTGAGCCGATTGACTTTAGCAGACTTAGAAAAATGTAAGTCTGCTTCAGATTGCACTGTTAACGTCTCAGAGCAAGGGTATGATTGCTCGCTGAACACTACTCAGCTGAAATAGATCAAACGGTGCTTAATTGAAGCAGAATCATGCCCCACTGGGTTCTTTATTGTTGCAAATCTTTTATTTGTCTCTCCAGACTGACCACCAAGAAGAATCTAATCTTGTGTGCCAATCCAGAGGACCAGTGGGTACTGGATGCGATGCGTGAACTCGATGCAAAGAATGCCCCTCTGACAGTTGAGCCCGGTCGCTTTGACAAACTCTTGGGAAGTGAGGTCCCCACGTCAGCTCAAGCTGGGCATTCAGCTTACCCCACAGGAACATTCAGCACAGCTGCCTATGAAAAGTCAAAACTTTCTGTTGTGAGAGCAGAAAATCCTGAGTCCTCTGAGGTCAGTTCCACATTGGTGGGGCCACAGGTTTCAAAACCTTCTATGGGCTCCACTTCCACACCAGAAGTTGTTGTCTCCACAACTACCATGCAGCCTGAACCTCCTGCAAATAGAAGCACACCTTCTTATTTTACTGATGGACCAAAGAGCTTTGGGGAAGGACTTGCTCCAGTTGGGAAAGGCCTGGAGGATATCAGTGGATCTAAGAATGACTTGGTGGCACCACCTACACCTCTAGATACCAATGCAACAGAGGCTCTTGATGATGAGGATCGCAAGGTGTCTCCTACACAATCAACGCTCCATTCCTCCAGCACTATAATAAATCTACTTAAGAAAAATTCCACATCAAATGCCAGGCTGCTGCCTTCCTCTGATCAACAGGGTTTGGGATTAAAACAAGTGATGGAGAATTCAACTGTTGGTTTCTCCACTGTGCCCCAAAGAGGGGGCTTCACTAGGCCCCCTGGCACACATGCCAGCATGAATGGAAGCAAAACAAACTCTGTTAAAAACAAGAGTGACATTGTGACGACGCCTGGGGAGGCTACAGAAGCCCCTGCATCTACACAAGCAAACAGAGATGCTTTTTCCAAATCTTCAGGTATTCTGTCACGTTCAGGTCTCCCTGAGGAACACTTTATAGAGAAGAGCAGAGGAGAAGCCACGACGCCACCTACAGAAGTCTCCTTGCCTTTTTTGCCTAATTCCCTGGCGAGGTACCGAAGTCACATAATCTCTGTGGGTTTTTTGGTGGTTACGTGCTGTATCTACTTGGCTCTCACAGCAGTGTGTGTAAAGAGCCGTATTCGTACTCGAGCATCACCTATGGAAACGGTACGAGGGCTGACATCCTCTAAAATTGACTCTCAGTCCAGTGCCTACGCCATGCAGGATCTTTGACTGGCTTGAGTCTTCAGCCAAGGGACATGCTGCTTTTATGTGCTGCAGTTATCTAGGCTGTGGTTATGAAGAAACCTGAGCAGATATTTATTTTTTTATCAGAATGGGACTTGTGACTGTTTGTAGCTGCTGGACAGCGAGAAACAACAAAGTGGAGGATTATCGTTTATTTGGATGTCTTTTAGCTGGCTGGTTTATAAACCAGGATCTTCAAATTCGGGAGGGACCGGCAGAATTGAGAGCTCTTGCCTAAACCTTTATCTGCCAAGTGTTTTTGTGTAATGGCGGAAGCTAGACTTCTACCCCCTCCCCTCCCAGTCAATGCAAATGTAATTTGCAATAGGCAGTGTTCTGGCCAACCAGACAGGACCGGCTGAACACATGAAGCTGCCTTATAGCAAGTCAGGTAATTGATCTATCGAGGGCAGTCTTGTCTATTCTAACTGGCACCAGCTCTCCAGGGTCTCCGGTAGAGGTCTTTCACATCACCTGGTCTTTTCAAGTGGAGATGCTAGGGATTGAACCTGGGACCTTCTGCATGCCAAGCAGATTCTCTGCCACTGAGCCAGGGCTGAAACAGTTTGGGTGCAGCCCATGGAAATTTGATCGTTGCCCCCATTGGATGTAGAAGCTGTCGGTGCCTGGGGAGCCCAGCAAGGTTCAAAACATGGGGGGGGGGGGAATTGGGACACAGTAGAGATCTGCAGATGTATGCTTAGCATTTGCAAGCACTTGGAACGGAGCACTTGCACCTTGAAATGTTTGTGCCCGGGTGGGGGGATGGGGAGAGAAAATGCACTATAGTAAGTGGAAACTGGCATTAGAAAGTACAAGCCCCAAAACAATGTTAACTGGCTAAAGATGCACTTTTGCAGTCTGATCTATGGTGGTGTTTTCTATTGTCTTAATAAAAATAAAACCGTAGCCAGCTGGCGTGATATTTTTAAGAAAGTGTAAGTCAGGGTCACAAAGAGGTGTTGGTGTATAAGTTTCAGCACCCGCTTTTGCAGTCTAAACTATGGTGGTGTTTCCTACTGTCTTAATAAAAATAAAACCGTAACCAGCTGGCGTGATCTTTTTAAGAACGTGCAAGTCAGGGTCACAAAGAGGATGGCTGAACCAGAAAAGCATGGCATGGGAAATAGAAGGATCAATAAAATTACCAAACGCCCACATACAGGATAAAGAAATGATGTAAACCAGGGGTGTCAAACATGCAGCCCGGGGGCCTGATCAGGCCCCCACAGGGCTTCTATCAGGCCCGCAGTGGAACTGGCTTCTGCTGCTTCTTCCAGTTCTACCTGCTGCTGCGTCATCATAGGTTTGCAGCTTACAGATACATATCTGAACAACATACTCAAGATTGCAACAGCACAAACCTTTTGATGCAATAATTCAGATCAAGAGGTGTCAGTTATCAGATGCTGTTAAATAAACAAAATATTGCAAGAGTGCTGTTTTTTAAGCATGTTTTTATTTTAGGTAAAAAAAACCCTTTGTGTTTGTGTCCTTTATAAAATTTATATCTCCGCTACCTGGCATTACATTTTATGACACACATGGCCCGGCCCAACAAGGTCTCATTTATGTCAGATCCGGTCCTCATAACAAATTAGTTCGACTTTGTTCGTGTAAACAAAGTCAATAAATAAATGTCTACTAGGTCTGGTACAATGCTGTCATAAGCGGACCCACTGAAGTCAAACAAATTTAGAAGAATATAACTCTGTTTAGGACTGCATTGCTAAAATCTAGAGAGGGCAGATGAACATGAATGCACACACGAAGCCGCCTTATACTGAATCAGCCCACTGGTCCATCAAGGTCAGTATTGTCTACTCAGACTGGCAGCAGCTCCCCAGATGATAGGTCACATCACCTGATCCTGTTAGCTGGAGATGCTGGGGATTGAATCTGGGAACTTCTGCCTGCCAAACAGATGATCGGCCACTGAGACACAGCCCCTCCCCACTATCAGTACTGTCTACTCAGACTGGCAGTGGCTCGCCAGGGTCTTAGGTCTGTCACATCACTTCCTATCTGATTTCTTTGAAGATGCTGAAGATCGAACCTGGGACCTTCTGCATACAGAGCAGATGCTCTAACACTGAGCCAAAGCCCTGAACGACTAAGCCCTTTCTGCATGATAGCCTCGATGCTCATGATGATGACGTTGTGCGACTGGAACTCCCAATGTGTTATTTCACCTTAATTTTTTTTTTGGGGGGGGGTGACATGGTTTAGCTTTGTGCTGGTCCCTGATCAAAAATGTCCCCCCCTCAGTTGCTTTAATGCCTGGAGAGGGGGGCAGAGCCAACACACACCCTGACGTGGCTAATCCAGGCTAGCCTGGTCTCCAGTTTCGGAATCTGAGAGAGAAGAGATTAGATTTATACTCTGCCCTTCACTATCTGAAGGAGTCTCAGAGCAGCTTACACTCAGACAAAAGAAATGCTAATGTAGCATTTTTTCCCCAATTTTTCTGAAAATTTCCGTTTCCCCCCGAAAAAAACTGGAAAATAACCGGGGGGGGGGTTTCCGAGCTTCAAAATTTCTGGAAATTTAACATCTCTACTCTCCCCACAATAGACACCTTGTGAGGAAGGTGAGGCTGAGAGAGCTCTGAGAGAACAGCTTTGAAAGAATTTATGACTGACCCAAGGGTACACCAGCAGCTAATGTGGAGGAGTGGGGAATCAAACCCGGTTCTCCCAGATTAGAGTCCATCCTCCTAACCACTACACCAAACTGGCTCTCTAAGCAGAATCGGCCCTGGTTATTCCTTGAATGGGAGACCACCAAGGAAGTTGAGGGTCAGTCCAAAGAGGCAGGCAATGGCAAACCACCTCTGATTATCTTTTGCCTTTAAAAACCTATGCAGTTGCTGTAAGTGAGCTGCAGCTTGATGGCACTTTTCTTGAACACAGAAAAGTTTTCGTTTTTTTACGAGGGCTTAAAGCAAGCCTGCAGGGAGGCTATTCCTGATAGACTTTCCCCCTGTGCCATTCAGTATGGGGAAAGGTTAAATCCCACCCTCCCCACAATCTCAATCCAAATTGGCCCCTTGCACACATGGAAAATCATCTTTACAAAATTACAATAGATAAACTCGGCTTTTTTTCTGGGGGAACACGCCAGAACAGAGTTCCAGAACCTCTTCGACAAAATTCTTTTAAAAATGTTTAAAAGTTCACGAGTTTTCAGTATACAGATTGAAAACTTCATTTCCCTCTTGAGAGTTCTGGCACCTCTTCTTCTTTTTTTTAAAAGAGAGCCCTGGTCATAAATTGCTATCCCAAATAGAGTTACACCCTGTTAAGTATGTAAGTAAGCTTAAAATGGCTAGGAGCCCTCATCCCAAAACTCCCAGGGCATGTCTAGTTTGGTCCTGTAGGGTTTAGGCCCTTTGTTTGGTAAGCCATTATATTGGATTTGGCAAATCATTCTAGAACAATTCAGTTGTTGTCTTTGCTTCTGATGTTCATATGAAGCTTGATACCACACACATAACATACCCTCTTCTGTCCTCAGTCATAGTTTTCTGGCATTCCTTCCTGTACCAACGTGATAATCCATGCCATGGTGTTTTATTTGTGTACTTACTCATGGGCGACTGGGTCCCTCACTAGTTTGCCCACCTCTCTGCTAAAGGCAATTTGAAGGTGAGTGAGTTACAGAAGCCGGCTCAGAAGAATTTTGAGGGTGAGGCACCATCTGCAGATTAGGTGGGGAGAAGAGAAAAGTAATTTCCCAGACCCAACCTTGCCAGGGAGATATCCCAGTGTTCTGTAAACAGGGTCCTTTGTGTTTTAATTTCTTTTGGCCTTGTTAAAGCCTCAGATGGTGAGAAAAAGGCATCTCTTGGGATTCTCTTCCACTTCAGCATTGAGTCATATTCTTCCTGTTAAAAACATAACAAAGTGACACTGTGTTTGCATACTGAAAATGATGAGGGCAAAACAAAAGATGACCTGATTTAAAATGTAAAATGAAATCCCCTTTTTCGATTCGAAGAACATTGTAAAAAAAGCCAGCGGACTTTGGATGCCAAAAGGGAGGGGGTATTTCGTGTTAAATTTCTTGTTCAACTTTCTGATTTTGCCCTGGCCGCCTCAGCCTGTTTTGGTTTCTCTTCCTGCTGCATATATCCATACATGCTTGATTTCTCTGTGCATCATACCAATAGTAAATGAAATCCTTCTACTGAGCATATTAAATTTCAATCCCATACTCATTACGGGGGGACTGGAACGGTGGACAAGGGGATCCTCCAGGTTGTTTTCAACGCCTTCATGAATGCAAAGTAATACAAATGGCAACGGACCTTCTACACAGGACTTTTTGGTGTTGTTTCCTCCGATGGGTGTCATTTTCTGTGCATTTCCCCCTCTCTTCACTACCAGAAGGTTTTGTGTTTATAAAGCCTTTCAAAAGCCCTCTTGGGATGCAGAAGGGGAAATGGCAGCCACAAATGTGGATGTGGGCGGGACCTTCCAAAAAATGCCTTCCTGTACAGATGACATGCTCGGGCGATTTTGGCTGTGTTCTTCCATAAAAGATTGAAGCAATCTTTCTCAGGTCTGAGAGGAAGAGTGTGCTGTGGATGGGGATAACTGGGCAAGTGGGTGAATAGAAAACAAGGTTATGAGGATGCTACCAAGGAGTTGCTAGTGGGAATTTCTGGAATCCAGATATTGGGAAAGGCAGTGACTTGGTGGTGCTGGTGGAAAGTGCCATCAAGTCACAGCTGATTTATGGTGACCTCCTGGGGTTTTCAAAGCAAGAGGTCCTCTCCATAGCAACACTGGATGTCTTCAGAGGTCTCCCATCGAAACACTAACCAGGACCGACCCTGCTTAGTTTCTGAGATCTGATGAGATCAGGCAAGCCTGAGTCATCAAGGTCAGGGCAGGCAGAGACTTTGCTTTAACAAAGTTGAATGTAGGAAGCTGCCTTTTAAATGAGTCAGACTTTTGGTGCAGCTACTTCAAGTATAGGAGCTGCGGTGGCTCAAGTGGTTAAGACGCTGAACTGCAGGCTGTGGAAGGTCAGTAGTTCAGCAGTTCGAGACCCGAGTGTGCCGCATGACGGAGTGAGCTCCCGTCTCTAGTTCCAGCTCCTGCCAACCTAGCAGTTCGAAAGCAAGAAATTGCAAGTAGATAAATAGTTACCACTTCAGTGGGAAGGTAACAGCGTTCCGTGTGCCTTGGTGTTTAGTCATGCCGGCCACATGACCACGGAGACGTCTTCGGACAGCGCTGGCTCTTTGGCTTTGAAATGGAGATGAGCACCGCAACCCTAGAGTTGGATTCGACTGGCTTTTGAGCAAGGGAACCTTTACCTTTTTTTACTTCAAGTATATTTTCATACTTAATTTTTTCTCTCCCAATTTCTTCAACATTTTCTTCAGAGTACACACAATGTACGAATTATTGCCTCCCAAGATCTCAGGTCTTTGTTGCTATGGCTCATGGCTTAAGTGGAGAAACTGAGTAGAATTTGAGCCCACAC